AGACACACATGGTTTGTCTGTGTCCATATATACCTGTTCGTTTCTGAGGTCCAGCGAGAGACTCCCTACCTGTACCTCTGCCGTCTGCAGGATGAGGGCGAAGGTGGAGAGGTGGGAGCAGCTGCACACAGTGTAGTTCTCATTGGAGAAGGAGGCTGTGCACCCCTCCACTGACCACTGCTTCTCCGCCCCCTTGTCCTCCCAGTACACACAGGTCAGCAGCCCAGGCTGGGGATTACCCTGAGCAGCAAAGGAGAGGATCAGCAGTGTACCAGAGCACAGTGTGTGGGTGAAACACAGGGCGAGTGCACATGTGTACTGGTTGGGGTGGAAAGAGCACATCTGGATGAAAATCCAGGTTCTGTACCTTCTTGTGGAGGAGCATGAAGTTAACAGGCTCAGGTAGCTTTGTGTGGTTGGTTTTGGGCAATGTGGCGGAGATGATGTCAGAGTACATTTCTGTGACGTTTTCAGTCTTGAAGAAACTGGAGCTCATAAGTTTCTCCATCCCATTAACAGACATGAACACAGCAGCAGCAGATCCTGAGTAGAGAGACACTGGTGATCACATGTTAACCATCATCATTGGCATCATACTAATCTTCATCCTTCACTGTGATCTTTAGTCACTGTCGTCGTCATCATCATCATCATCATCATCATCATTGTCATTATAATTACCATCTTTGCTGTCCATCATCTCTTACCATTGTTGTTTTTTGCAATAGCTTGAAGGTTGACTGACATTACATTTCCCTTGGCTTTTAGTGCAGGCATCTTAGTCATATTTGTTTGTGGTCCAATGGCATGTAAACTGATTTCTGAAAGAGAGTCAAACACATACACTTCTGTGAAGCACAACAGCTTTTGCACTCATTCAGAAAATCTTTGCTCTGTCGACTCCTGTCCAGTGTCCTACCCATGGCAGGCGTCCTCACAGTTTTTGTGGACTGTGTCTGCGTGGGCTTGACCAGGGCTGACACCAGCTTTTCAGAGACCTTCAGGAGGACACTGGCCGCCTCTGCGCTGCTGCCCCCACCCTTTGCAGGGGACATGCTGTCTGTGACGGACAGGGCCGTGGAAAGGACACTCGTCACCGTCTGAGGGAGTGTTCAAAATAACAGAAATCATAGCGTGAACTCCTTCATGTGCAATAGCATGATGTAAATAAAACAATCAAAGCAAACACAGGATAAAGAAAATTTCTTGCTAGAAACTCTAAAACTGATGACCGAAAATGTCCATATGTACCATAATTATATATGCTTATTATTGTATGTTATGTGACAGTATGCAAGTATGCCAAAAGGAGGAATTCCATGTGCAGAGTAAACATAGCAAGAGGCTAAATGCTCTGTACACAGCAAAAATTTTATAAAGTGGCAGGGTTATTACAGAAAATGCATCCTTGTTCAGATGTAACGTAAACCAAAGAGCTTTCTACCCATGAAGCCATTAAGTACAAACAGTAATATGACAAAATCACAGCCCCTCTGGGCTTGTTGGTGGACTTTCTAAAGCACAGTTGCATCTCTAGTAAGTCCATTTAGTCAAAATCGCCACTCCTTGCACTGACCCCCTCAGGCAGAATGATGTCAGGTTGATTCTCTAACTCCTCACTCATTCTGCTGAGGAAGAACATCTCTTGCGATTCACCCTGCAGAGGAGAAAGGTAGCAATGGCAAAACAGGGACCTCATGCGTTTATCATTATCCTGCAGAATCCCCTCTATGGGCAGGTCTTCTTCAATTACCAACTCACCTCTGGAGGGGTTAGTGCAGCCATTACTTCCTGAACACCTGAAAACAACCAAATAATTGATAGATGAGAGACATTAGCTAGACAATGGTTTTAAAGGAGGTGGGACTGGTATTCAACTAAAAGCATTCCATGCATCACTTACTCTTACACAGGGTCACCCCAAAGTCCCAGTTTATTCCAGTAGAGGAGATGTACCCATCCTCACAGGAGCAGTAGTAGCTTCCTGCAGTGTTGTAGCACTCAGCATCAGAGCCACATTGACTGCCCTCTGAGCACTCATCCACATCTGTAAGATATACTACATTCATTTAGTGTCACACTCAGTCAGCTAACTTGTGTCCATTATGAATCTTTTAAGTATCTGAGACCACCTGACCTTGACAGGGATCTGAGTCGCTGACCATGGAGTCTAAGGAGATGATCTGGTAACCTTGGTGACAGGTGCAGGTGTAAGCCCCAGCTGTGTTGGTGCAGTTGCCATTCGGACCACATATGTTGAAGTCCTCCACACACTCATCAACATCTGTGGAAGATCGATTTATGCACGGTTCAGAGAACTGAGAAGCAAGAAATAAGAAATGTGCTGCCCTTCTGATCAGGTTCTTTTTTTAAGCAGGTAGTTGAGTGTGGCTGTAGCCTGTTTTACTTCAGAATTTCAGTGCTTGAGACATCCTGACCTTGACAGGGGTTCGATGCACTGGCCATGGAACCCAGGGAGGTAACCTGGTACCCCTGCTGACAGGTGCATGTGTAAGACCCATTGGTGTTGGTGCAGATGGCAGTTGGACCACAGATGGTGGAGTCCTCCACACACTCATCAATATCTGTGGAAGATAAAGGGTATAGATACTGCATGAGTGAGACCACTGGTGGCTCTTGGTGATGTGTTGGACATAAACTACCTATTTTTTCCACTCAAGCAGGAGAAGGAAGGAGTTAATCAGTGCAGCAGTGTATTCTTCCCTAATGAAACTTTGATAAACTTGAATAATATATCAAATTAGGCAAATCTAATTGTTAGCCAAGATTCTGATGCATCATTGTACTTATAGCAACATATCTTCTCTCAGCGTGTGAGGGGTTCTGACCTTCACAGTAGCTGGTGTTGCCCCAGTCATACCCCTTTTGACAAGTGCAGGAGTACGAAAAATCTCCGGAATCAATGCTGCATCGAGCATTGGGACCACAGATGGTGGTATTATCCCTACAGTTTTCTGCTGTGGAAGATTAAAGGTAGGATTATTGCATGGTTGAGAGTATTCATGGTATAAAATATATTTGTACAAAGCCTTACACCGTATATAGTGCACCCTGTTTATAAAAAACACTGATATAAGAATTAGTGCATATGTTAATAAAAACAGTGGGACAGAATCATGCCTGTGTTGGCATTGTATAAATACTCTAGTTGTGAGAATCAAGAAATCCACTTAGAAGAATCATTTATGATATATAATAAACCTCTTAATGGAGTGCAATATGCATAACAGTCAAAAACATCTTTTTAGAAACCTGAATTTAAATATGATTGTTGTATGCTCTTTTAATCACTGTAAAACCTAACACACACAGTACTTTGTGAAAAAAATGTGTAGTTCAGCCAAGCACTTGGATGTCAGTGGCAGGAAAAATGCAAAATAAGTCACTTTCTTATGCTTTTTTAGTCTTAAAACAGGGAGAATATTATGAAGGGCAAAGGGGACAGAACACAAATCCAAACTGATGTGTGACCCACTGGACAAGTCTGTGATCAAGCAATAACTGCACTCCGTGTTGTTGTCCAAACTACACTAAAAATCCAGGACAAATTATTATTTTATCTTTGGAAGCAATGATTTGTGGATATCAGCTGTGCTGAGGCATTGTAGTCCACACAGAGACATACTCCGAAACACTTACACTGACTCATATTTTGATAAGGACAAAGAAAAGATATATGTTCAAATACATTTTGTTCCTTGTTTTAAGTATTTTGCTAAAGATATTTCTCAGTTAAATAAGATAAACATACTATGTATAACGTAGTCGTCCATTTTATTACTGAATTTGTATGGCCACTTTTAAGAACCAACCACTTATTCTAATCAAACCTCCCGTATAGATGTAATTTTTCACTGAGTGCATGGTAAAATGTCTGATAGATGGATTGATTTATGGTTTGTGATATCATACCATGTTAAATACAACATGGGTTGTTTTTGGATAAGTTCATTTATGCAGTGGACTGGCAATAAACTATATGAACTGAACCTGATTTATTTGACTTGACGTTCTCACATAATTATTCTTACTAAAATTGGCCTAAAATGCTGACAACGAAACATCTGCATCTAAATATGATGAGTGTCACGTTCAATATTAAAGTACATCTATGTTCGGAAGAATGGATGGTTGGTTCATGCATATTCTTTCCATTGGGAGCAATTAGATTACTTAATCAGAAACATACAATCTAAATGCACCTAATGTGAGTGAACATGCAGCATGTACCAACAGGGGACAATGGACAATTCCATTTACTCTCTGCCTTTGACAAAAGATTTAACATCGGATTCCCCACTCCCCAATCTTAACCACAAGCATTTAGTGTCGAAGTTCTATTCTGATCCAGGATCATTTGCTCCTGGCAGAAAGTACCTACACTGGGCAGGCACAAGGCTGACCAAGGGGGCCTTAGGTATTCCAGTCATGCATGTGCACAAGATGTGAACATATCTGATTTGTTTAATAAACTCAATCTGTTTTGATCACATAGTTGTCAAATTCAACTTTACGCACGCATGCCTTTATCATGATGATATTTAAAATTACTTTCGGTCAACAAAAAGTTGTCTTAATTGTGTTATTGACGATAAAGCATCACTAACGCCTCTTGAGAAACTACTGAAGTTCTTTACACTGCATTGAGTGATTTAGGAATTTCATCCTTACTTACCGGAAAAACAATTACAGATCAGCAAGGTGAGAAGAGAGCCTGAACACAGAGAAATAGCACCAGGAGGTGAAAATATATCAGCAGCAATGGGAAGGAAACACGATGCTTCCACTTTTTGTACATGTAGTAACAACTGCTGTTGATCAATTGCATTATCCTCAATTACAGGGACACATTACAGTATTACATTACATTTTTGTCATTTTGCAGACAGTGTTATCCACAGCGACTTTGCATTACCTATTTATACAACTGGTTGTTTACTGAGGCAATTCTGGGTTAGGTACCTGGCCCAAGGGTACAGCAGCAGTGCCCGAGTGGGGAATTGAACCAGCAACCTTTAGGTCACGAGCCCTACTCATTACCACTACACCACACTGCCGCCTTGAGAAATGCTACAAAGTCTTAAGCATTGAGAAATGTCCCATACTGAGATCTACAAGGAAGATAATTAGCATTGCACTACTTACCCAACAGCAGTGAGAAAGTAACGTGATTCATCTCCGCTGGCTGTTCCCCTGGCAGCAAGAGCAAAGCACTTGCATTGGCTGCAGCTCAGCCCACACTATAAAGGAGTGTGTGGAGGAGTTTTTTTTTGAAAACAAACATCTTAATGCAAATACACCAAAATCACTCCCCAGGGAAAGGAGCACGGGCAGCTATGGCTCATTTCAGTTGTTTGAGTAAGAATGAGCTTATTTAATGTGCACCTGCCGGCAAGGTCTGATCTGATAGCTTTCTGGATCCGAAACACCTCACAAAACAAGCTTCTCGTCAAAAGAACCCAGCATAAAGCTTCAATGACAGTACAGCTTCAACCATCCGCACAGTTTCATACTGTGGAATGTACTGAGGGGTTAGGCCTGCAGGACCTACAGATGCAAAACAACTCCGAAACAGAATAAACCACCATCATATTCCACAGTCGACATGGGTTCTTTCTCAACATAAGTTTGACCAATTAACATTCAGATGGTCTATTATGCTTCACATTCATTGTCATTTTTTAGCACATGCTTTTATCCAAAGCAATTTATATAGGTTACAGTTTTACACATAATCCATTTATACGGCTGGATATTTACTGACGCAATTTTGGGTTAAGTACCTTGCCCAAGGGTTGTACCCAGGGCAGTGCCCCAGCAAGGAGTTAAACTGGCAACCTTTTGGTTATGACTCCTCCTCATTATCACTACACAATACTGCTGCTTAGTATGTCAAAAAAAAAAGAGTATCTTCCAATGACTAAATGTAAATGTGAGCAAAACATGAGTGTTTCACTTGAATAAAAAAACAAGATGTCACATGAGCAGTGACACCTAAACCTAGAAGACACCTTGTGGAGGGGATGAAACAAGTTCTACAGGAGGCACTGGTGGAATATGCAAGGAGGAATCTCTTTGAAGGATTTATGTAATGATTGTGAGAAAGTGTCAGAGAAGTACAGTACTACATTTAATAGTAATCTGTATCAAGAATTTTCAGATGCAAGAAGAGGAGGGAATCCATTATTTCACAGATACCTCAATGGTACAGAGGGAAAGGAAAAATTTGCCCATCATTAGCATTGTTTTGGTTGTCTTATATTTTGTTTTGTAAATGTGGACAAGCACCGCTGCCTTTGGGATCAATGCAAATGCTATGCTAGAAGTGAGAGCTCTCAGAAAAAATCAAAGCCAGGAAACAGGAGGAATGATTGAAAATTTTTAATTAAAATATGGCATATTTTTTGACACTGAGGCACCACAATGCACTTCCTAGGACTTCACCTCCAACTTCTCTCTTCCAGCTTGCTCACATCTGCCTCAAAACAAATGATAAACCAAAATTGCTCTTTGATTTTTTTAAGGCTTAGTTCAACTGTGAACAAACTCAAAACAGTACATATCATGCAACAATGTGTCACAATCATTATAATTTCTTGTGAGTATAATCATTTGAATGTAGAAATATATGTTCTTGGTTATATTTCACCACAGTAAAAGCCTCAGAATATTTATTGTCATCTCATGGCTTTTTCCAGGATTTTAGAATGTGTTGTGTACACAAAGATATTACAGTTCATGTCTGGGGATATGCGCTGTCACCTGCCTCTCAGTCAGTTGGCTGAAAACGATAAAATTGTACATTGTGTACAATTGTATGTGTGTGTGTGTGTGTGTGTGTGTGTGTGTGTGTGTGTGTGTGTGTGTGTGTGTGTGTGTGTGTGTGTGTGTGTGTTTTAGGCATACATCAAATTATAAGTGAAACAGTTTGGTCAAGTGACAATGTCGTATGATTTCTGATCAACGCATGGCTTCATTAAAATGGTGAAGAAAGATACGGAAGTGAATGGTTAAATTTTAAACAGATGAGTCTAATTCCAGTATAAGGGCACTTGATAATTTTAAGTTAATGTTAACATCTCGCATTCTCTGTTGTGCTTTCATTTCGCAAGCCAACAACATCCACTTGTGCGATACGTTCCTTTTCTATCACATACTAACGTGAGGTTGGAGTGCGTACCATGTACGACTCGTACGATTTCGTTGTATCCAGATAATAAAAGGCTACAGGAAAAAAATAGTTCAATAGTTCAATTACAAAAGTATATTAGTGTAAAATGCGTGGATGTATTGTGCTTTTTTCTTACAACAAGAAATCTTGATTCTAATTTCTTTTCCCCGTCAGTGTGCTACACTAGACTCGCTCTGAAAGGGGCGGAACCAGTATATGTGTGTTTCCACAACCTAGTCGGATGTTGAAGTGAACGGAAGTCAGTCGTAAATTGTTGTGATTTGTCGTAAAACGATCTGTGTATTGATACACGGGTGGAATCGTTGCTGTTGCTGTACGCTTCATCAAGAAAGGTTGGATTATTTTATTTAAGGCTGGATAGCTACCCAGCTGACTCTCCTTTCGTCTAAAAGTTGACGCCCACAGACTCTAGCCAAACAGCAGTGTTCAGCAACTTTTAGCCTACACGTTATCATTGTCTTGCTAACAGCTAAAAAGCTAGACTCGCCGTGTTACCATCCCTTTACTATAACTACGCTCCTGCATGAGTGGTTCGTTATCTGACTAACATAATCATACTCTTTGTTTTCGCTCAAATTTATCAGATGTATTAGATTTATCAGTGTTCAATAATAGCTTCTCTCAATGTGCTTGTGGTCATTATATCAGTCCTAGCTAGGGGTATTGGCCAGTCAGACATCAAGTGTAATCGATCGGAGGCTTGCCCTTCTTTCGTTTGAGTTGAGAACAAAGTGCGAGTTTTTTTTTATGCTGCGTATGTACTTTTTGTGTGTGGGTGCTCAGATGAAAGTGGACATTTCAGTTGTTGCTCTCTTTTTTAGATAGAGGCGACATTTAGCTACCTAGCTAAGTGTCCGATCTTCTGCTGTGGGGTTATTGGCAGATTTCGAACCACGTTTTCTTTTGTGTCCCGTCGAGAACCTCATCAACCATGACCTCACTGGTAAGGTGTGAATGTATGAGTTACCGTAGGGAACACTGTATTGTTGTGTGTTGGACAAAACTGTGTCAGCCCACAAGATAACAGCTGTATGTGGGGAGGACGCTTTCGTGAGCGTTGGATAAGCGGTAGTGTGTTACAGAAATGGAGTTGGTGTTGGCTCTAAATGTGACGGGACTTCTCCCTGTCTTTTTGCAGGGGAGCAGCGCTTCCTCCTCTGCAACAGAGTACATCGTCCGAGTGCCCAAGTGAGTGTGTAATTCTCTGCCCCAGGAAGTTTCCTTCTTCACTCCTTACTCCTCACAGTTCTGTTATCTCTGATACAGCCACTGATCTCATTTCAGGGTGAATGCGATCTAAACAGTCATGCCTGCTCTAACAGTCAGGATACTGATAATCATGTTGGTGTAGTCGTGTCTGACAACAGAAGAGCTTCACACTGTGCCCAGTGGGCACGGTGCAACTCTGTCATCCATGGCTGTCCAACCCTGGCTTTGTGTCTCTCTACCAGAAACACCACCAAGAAGTACAGTATCATGGCTTTCAATGCTGGGGACAAGGTCAACTGCTCCACTTGGACACAGGTAACTGCGGCTGTTTTATGTGGGCTCACTGGACGTGCTGGTGTCTCTCACGCAGCCTCTTTCTCAATCCCACTCGCTGTGTGCCTCACCCACCTCCCACCCCTGCCCCCCTTTTCCTCCAGGCGCGGATGGAGCGAGACATGAGCAACAGGCGCATGTACGCGGAGGAGGAGGTGCCGGAGGGGGCTGCCGGCAGCGAGTTTGGGAAGAAGCAGAGGGAAGAGGCCCGTCGAAAGAAATTCGGCATCGTCACGCGCGAGTTCAGAGTGGAGGACCAGCCCTGGATCCTCAAGGTCAACGGCAAATCAGGGAGAAGGTACAGCTCGGGATGTGTTTTGCCTCTGTCTCCATGCCCCTCGCTGGAATTCTCTTGTCGGTCTCTAATGGATTATGAAAAATATGCCGGGAGAGGTATATGAATTGAGTGCTGGTGTCACACACACACTCTATCCATAGTTCATTTTAGTAGCATGAAGTTTGATGTCCCATGTTGTAGTGCATTCTCTAACTCACAAACAGTGACATGTGCCTCATACCTGTACACCCCGCTCCATGACAATGTTTCCCACCATGTGTGCACGACTGCCTGTCCTGTCTGTCCAGCAGTGGTCAGGGTGAACCTCCTCACTGTGTTTCAGGTTCAAGGGACAGAAGAAGGGAGGGGTGACGGAGAACGCCTCCTACTACATTTTCACACAGTGCCCCGATGGGGCGTTCGAGGCCTTCCCAGTCCACGGCTGGTACAACTTCACCCCGCAGGCGAAACACCGGACGCTCACAGCAGAGGAGGCAGAGGAAGAGTGGGGGAGGTGAGGAGGAGGAGGAGGTGGTGTGGCGGCATGCAGGAAGGGAAGGAGACAGGGGAGAGGTGCTGCCCAGATGAGACGCAGAGGAGGTTAAGGGGATTGTCATAAATGTAGTGTGGGCATCAGTGTGGCGTTGCGGTAAGGAGCAGAGCTTGTAAGCGAAAGGTTGCTGGTTCGATTCCCCGCTGGGGCAGTGCTCCTGTACCCTTGTGCAAGGCATTTCACTCAAAATTGCCTCAGTAAAATATCCAGCGGTATAAATGGGTAACATTTTAACCTATGTAAGTCGCTCTGGATAAGAGCATTTGCTATATTTTAATATTACCTTACGGAACATTATTGTCATTTAGCAGACATTCTTATCCAGAGCGACTTACATAGGTTACAGTTTCACATATTATCCATTTATACAGCTGGATATTTGATGAGGCAATTCTAAATACCTTTCATAAAGGTGCAGCAGCAGTAACCCAGTACGGAATCGAACCAGCAACCTTTCTATTATAAGCCTTACTATGATGCTACACTGTCACCC